TTTTTTTTTACTTTTTTATTCTGTTTTAAAGACCAACTACTTCACGTATATTTGGATACCAGATACTAGTTTGAAATTTCATCCAATAAAAAAACACATTTCAATAGGACAAAAGTAAAAAATTGTAATTATAATTTTTTTTAACTACAACTAATTTTCAAACAAATCTTATTATTCATAACCTTTTTTATCTTTTTTTTTTTTTTTTTTGTTTTTTATATTTGGATACCAGATACTAGTTTGAAATTTCATCCAATAAAAAAACACATTTCAATAGGACAAAAGTAAAAAATTGTAATTATAATTTTTTTTAACTACAACTAATTTTCAAACAAATCTTATTATTCATAACCTTTTTTATCTTTTTTTTTTTTTTTTTTAGTTTTTAAATAAATATACAGAAATATGAAATGTCTCATCTATACATAAAAAATTATGGAAATGAAATGTGAATTGAAGTCATTATTAAGAAACTAAAACGAAAATTTAGAACATAAATAAGAAAATGATAATTAAAAAAATTGTTACGTGGCAGCGCATCAATGCGTTCCACGTCATTCTAAACTTGAAGACGCAGTTCCTTTCCTCATGGAAACCCAAATCAATGTTGTTCATTGGCTCACAAATCGGAAATTGGGGTTACTTTCAAGTTCCACAATTCCAATTGACACAGCAAGCAACTCCGATTCTCCTTACACTCTAATCAGAAACAACGGTGCCAGGTTCGATCGAGTCGTTCTTCATGCTTTTTGCACATTTGATCAATCTGCAAACTTGACATCCTGATCCAACGCAAGTTCGATTTTTTTTGGTTGAACCTCAGGTTTTCAGATACCCTTTTTGTTCCTTTTTAACGGATTAGGTCCGTTGATTGTATAGGTGGTTGATTTAGAAGCAGATAGAAAATGGGGGCAATGATATCTAGGTTCTGGTTTATGTTATTCCCTGCAAAGGAGTATAAGATTGTGGTAGTTGGGTTGGATAACGCGGGAAAGACCACAACCCTTTATAAATTGCACTTGGGCGAGGTTGTCACAACCAACCCTACCGTTGGTAGCAACGTCGAAGAGCTCGTCTACAAAAATATACGATTTGAGGTCCCTTCATTTATCTCTTTACTAATTTATTTTTTCATTTATTTTGCTTTAGTGTGTTTATCTTGCTTCAAGGGTTTAATGTTATCATTATTTGTTGATGAGTATTATGAGTATGAGGACTTGCCTGTTCTTAATCTTCCATTAGTCTGATCAAAGTTGTGTCCGACAAAGCACCCTTCGGCTCTTATTAATAGATAATAGGCTACAAGCAGTTAAATCCAGCAGCACTCATTTTTCATTCCTTATGGCATCCAAACTTCATGAAACGTACAGAAAGATAACATCTGTTTGGTTTCCATGAAAGTTGTGTTTTGAAGATGCTTTATGCTTGTTTGGGGGAGATTATTTTATGGAAATGATCGTTTATTTTTCGAAAGCTCTCACATAACTGTAAAAATAAGTGATTAGATCTTCGAGATAAGCTTAAACTAAACACCTTGCTTGGACCATACGCACAACTTAGTGTATGTTTGATTTCACATTGGATTTTTCATAATTATGTCAACCCTTAACTAAGTGTATGTTTGATTTCACTTCGGATTCTTCATAATTACGTTGAAATACCTATTAATCAATGATTTTAGGTTAATTTTCACATGTTTGAACAATTAGTTGAGTCCAAAATTGATTGAGTTGAGGCAACTTTGGTAATTTTTGGGCTAAGATTAAAAAGTTTATACTGACTTTTACGTTTAACCTGTTTTCATAATAAAAAAATTCAAATATAAATCGCACCACTTCAGTCCATTTTATTCAATGTCGATTTTGCCCTGCTGATCCAAACACTTAGTCTTAGACATTTTTTAGTTCCCTTGTTCTGTCTCTGTATTTTTTGAGAATGTTTGGCTAACCTTGTTCTCTACATTTTCAACCAATTGGCATTTGATGCTGTTGAATCCTAGGCGTTTCTGTATGAACACAGGATGATCACATTAATGTACCCTTTGCTTTGTCAGACTCATAGTAAACAAGTGCTTTTGGGAGAGCACAATAGCATTAAATAATGTAGGTGACAATAGCATTTGATTTGCTGGAGAATGGAGGATGAGAATTTTTTTCCTTTCAATTTTATTCATTTGATTAAGGAATTTTGAAGAGGAAAGAAGGGCAAATTGAAAAAGGGTGCGGGGAAAATTTAGAAGGAAAAGGAAATGGTTTTCGCTGCGTTGACAAGCTGTAGAAACGATTTATGTAACAGGAAAATGTGTATTTGATTCTTACAGTGTGCAAAATCTTGTTATCACGGGCAAGATTAATCTTTAGTCCATTGGGTTAAAAATACTCGTGGCAAGAAAAAAAAATCTATTTATAGTTTTTGAACTATGCTATTGCTAACTAAATCTTTGAGATCTTATTTTTATATTGCTTTTCCTCTATTAATAATTATAACAATGTATTGTTCTTATTTTTCCTCGCTTTATCTCGCATACCAAGGGAGCACCATTTTCTTTCTCTCCCCTCCATTAAAATTTCTTATTTTTCCCCCCTCTAAACCAAACGTTGGAAGGGGAGGGGGGGAAGGAATATCCTAAGTTAAAAACATTTGTTTCTACTTTACTAATTTAGGTTCACGGAGGGCAGGCATGTAGAATCCTGCTTCGAGTCCTTTGCTAGCTAATTATTTTTTCTTTTTTCAATCTGGTGATAACAATTCATACATATGTTTTAAAACTAAATTTGGTATGCCGCATTTCCAACCTTTGCTACTGAGCAGGATTAAAGCATTACTCATTCCACCTTGTCCTTCGTTTCAGGTCTGGGACCTTGGCGGACAAGAGAGACTGAGGACCTCATGGGCAACGTATTACCGAGGAACTCATGCTGTGATTGCAGTGATAGACAGCAGTGATAGAGCCAGGATCTCAATCATGAAGGATGAACTTTTCAGGTTGCTGGGGCATGAAGATTTACAACATTCTGTCATTCTTGTCTTTGCTAATAAACAAGACATCAAGGATGCAATGACTCCTGCTGAGATCACTGATGCACTATCTCTTCACAGCATCAAGGATCATGATTGGCATATACAGGCTTGCAGTGCCCTTTCGGGAGAAGGGCTGTATGATGGTCTTGGATGGATTGCTCAGCGAGTAACTGGCAACGCACCAACATGATGTTGGGATGCTGGAAACTTAGAATGAAAATCATTTTTATTGTATTATGTGATAACTGACTAATTCTATGCATCATTTATACTTCGAAGAGCCAAGCTAATTTTAGATTCTTGCAGTTTCAATTTGTGTAATCGAGCATATCAATTACTAATGAAAAAAAAAAAAAAAAAAACCCATGGACATGCCTTGCTCCACACGCTTTGCAATGAAAAAAATAATTATTATATACACATCTATACTGTCATCGGTTGATAATTGTCGTCTCAGCAATTAAGCTGTCATCTCAAACATAAAAACTATGTATTTGCTATAATTGTCATCCGCACATGGGAACATTCATGAAAATTTGCCAATAACAATATTGTTTCAAAACTCTCAATTTCTAGGCCAATCTGGGATTAAAAAGAGGGTGGGGAGAAGGGGAATTGGCAATTAGCATTGATCGTCAGAGAATCCAGCATCTACAGCAGCCTTTAGAATCTTTAGGGCCTTCAAACCATCGATCCCATGTAGGACTCGCGGGACCAATTGTTCTGTCAAACAAAAAATAGGTCTTTTGTTACAAAAAAATATATTAAAAAAAAACGCTGTTGCAACATGATTAAAAAAAGTTGACATAAGAGATTTTACGATGGTAGTAATGGATCAGGTTTTGTTTCCACATTGCTGAGCATTCTGGAAAAAACAAACACAGAATGGAAATTCAAAGTTAAACCAACATCGATTATACATTATCGAATACTTTTGTAATTTTAAGCTTACACTTTGCACGCTGTAGATGCTTTCTCCATCTTTTCAAGTTGTTCCAGCTCTTCCTGCATTGATTTTGTAGTGGGTATTGAAAAACTTGCAGCCCAAGTTTGAAAACTAGAATTAAATATAAGTAATTTAAAAGAGAGGTTAAGAACCACAATCATCCTTCCTGTGGAAAGCTCACCAGATGGCTTCCTAGACGGTTAGAACTACCATATATTTCCATCAAAGATCAAGGGATTTAATCCCACAAAAACAGCGGACATATGAGCATAATAATAGTGAAACAGAGGCAATGTGTTTCAGAGAACTATAGATCAACCATAGATCAAACAGCACAAATCCCTTACTGCGAGTGCCAGATCCCGGATTGGAATCTTGGGCAAGCTGCTTTACATGCACCCTAGCCTACCATCCCCCTCCTGGCCTCCTCACACCAAGTCATAGGCTTCCTTTGCAACACGGGGGAAAAAGATGGAAAAAGGAAAAGGGTAAGGCAAACAAGACCATCAGGAAGAGAATTTGGCCTACCCTTTCGTTGAGTGCCATAATTACATCCCCCTTTCTCTTTAAGATCCTGTATCTAGTTCTAGCCATCCTGACCATAATAAATTTTCATATCCACATGGTATTCTGAAACTTATACTGCTTTAAAAAAATATGTACGTGAAAGAGATTTCATGCCCTAAGAATATTCTAAAGAGTAAGATAAGAGAGAAAATAATCAAACCATTTGTTTTGACTAAAGAATAATATTAGACTCCTAACAATGAGTTTATGCCAACTACAAGGGGGTATATAATGAATGGAACAGGAAGCATTTTCGCAAGCATGATAAAAAAGATCTAATCCGCCCAGCCCCTCAGTCCAAGCCACTTATATTAGAAGTGATCTAAAGTTCTACACAGTTGACCACTTGAAGCAATAAAAAAAGTTGACCAATATATCTGAGAAATTTATAGTTTGCTGCTTTCTATCCTCCATGGATGAAGTGAGCCTCGTTATGAATACTGAACAATCTTAACAAGGAAAGGACTTGATAACTTACTTCAGAACATGAAATTGTTATCAGACAAGACAATAATATTTGAGACCGCTGATAACAAAAGAGTTAGAAGTGTCCCCTTTAACAACTTTACTGGTCGTTGGGCAAATCAGCAAATAAGCCAAAGGTGGGGGCAGTGAAATATCTTGGCAACACTATTTTACTCTTAGTATATATACATTGATGCTGGTAAAGTTAATAGCATAAGATTGCTAGTTCCCAGAAATTCAATGATGATTGGTTACTTGCGTATCCTTAACCAAGCAAGACAGGAGCTCAAAAAGGTGTTGGCAACAATCTATTCAGTTTGACAAACCCCCAATCTAAAGTTCCTAGATTTCCTTCACACCTAAATTTGAAGGTTTTAGTTTGGTAAGGATAAATGAAGGCGACAGAGTGGCATAGTCAATATCTAAATCAAGTTCTTAGAGCATTCTCTCCATTCCCCAATTCAATACAGAATACCTACTTGTAAGTGATCTAAATATCAAATTTTGGTTTTTAATTTGTCACAGAATTTAGAATCCATGATATAAACGTTCACCCCTGACATAAAAGAAGAGGTAACATAGGATTGAAGGAATTTTGGTGATAAATCATATTCGCTCTGTAGTCTGTCTCATAAATAAAGATCACTAGATGAGAAATGGAATCTCAATTATTTCCTAAAATGAAGGTGAAACGTTTGAGTTATTTATGCTTGTAATCGAACAAAATGAATCAAAACAATGGGGAAGTAATAATTTTTTGATAAATGAGAAGCAAATAGAAAGATTTATATTTGAATGGATGGAGGATCAATTTCATGAAATTATTAAACACCCCCCCCCCCCCAAG